CATCCCCCACCCCCCTCCCCCGCAATGGGAACGGGACTGAGACTAGAAAACTAGTTTCATATTGGAAACTAAGGTCCATTACATGGTATCTTTAAATCACTGGATTTGTTTTTTGTATAAGTCATGCAGATGGCACAAATTCTGTATCTCATAATGTCTTTTCTCCCCACAGTCCCCCATAAAATTAAGATATTTTGTTTTTCAAGGTAATGAAAATATTGGTAAAAGTATATGTGGCTGTAACATAATTTTTTTTAATAACTTCTCTAACATAGGTGTTTTGAGTGTATGATTTACAGAGCTCCAACTGTATACAATACTGAAATATCAAGTTTTAATTTGAAAAGTTAGATTTATAATGACGTTTTAAAAATATTTTGAGTAGATATTGTTTGTAACCTAAAATGATTTTTGTGCTATATTTTAGAAGATAAGAAAACTTGTGCATATTATAACTATTTTATTTTAGATGCATTTTTTTAGAGTCAAAAAAGTGGGGCTTCCTAGTAATGCTATAAATTTAAAGCTGTCCTACAGCAAGATAGTACAATGCAAATATGACTTAATAAGATCACAAACTGAATTTCAGCAAAACAACCAAGATTTACATTAAATTAGGAATTTTAAAACCGATTTAGTTTGTTTTACTGAGCATTTGCTTAATAACATTTCGCCTTCTTGCAATCTTTTTAAAGACAATAATTCGTCTGTGAAATGCAGGCACATCCTCAGTAGAAAAATTGAAAGCAACAGCTCACTTTCTGAAACCACACATCTAGTGATATAAAGAAATATTTCAGCTCTACGAAATTTAATAAATCATCCCATTTCCTAATTTGATCATATTAGATGCTGATGTGGAAGAAGCATTTCAAATACCATCTCCTCATTAATATACATCAGTCTGGGGAATAGAATGGAATACTTATGCAGAGATGTCACAGTTACTGTTTCTTAGTTTACTAAGTGGAACAGGTTGATGTGATACTGGGTGCTATTTGTCAATGTCTTGCTAAAATGGTTTGGGTCGAGTTATGGAGTCCAGAAAGACGGCGGCTGATAAATCAAAAGTGGATTGAGTGGACAGGAGGCAGTGATTGATACTGTGACAGGATATGAAGAAAGGAATTTTGATACAAGCATGCATGATATTGAATATGAGAAGGAAAATGGCCCTGGAGTATGGATATTATTCAAGGAAATGAGAATAATAATATCATCTTGAAATTATTGCTGGGTGAAGATTAGGATAGTATGCTTCTCCTGAATGAAGAAACTCAGATTTTATATAATTTCTATGTGGATAGAGTCTTGGTAATATTTTTAGAGTTTCACTGCAATTGTTCTGCAAGTTAATCGTATATGAAAATACTTGCTTTACATCAGAACTTGTAATGCAAATCTTTTAATTCATGTAGCTTTAAATAGAATTAACCAAAAGATTTTAATCTTTATTCCTTGATGTCATACAATTCTGTGATTATAGAGTATTTCACTATAATTGCCTTTAAATATGCAAGTTTGTTTTTATTGTCTGCCAAGTGCTTTTTGGCTTTTCCCTTTACATTAAACTGAAAACTGCTGCCTTGAAATATCTTTAACACAGTTCAACTTAAAGATTGACACAATAACACCTAGTACATCTATACATATGTAAGAGAAAAATATCGTGTGTAAAGTAATCCTGTTTGTAGAATTGATGCCTTTGGACTGTCACTAAAGGAAGCGTTTGATCAGTGAATGAGTTTTCTTTTTTCCTGTGTGTGTGTGTGTGGGTGCATGATTACATCTTATTTCTTTACCATTCTTCCAGTCTAATTGATTTACTATTGAAATGCGTGCATCTTATTGCAGTCCCGTGGCAGGGCGACCTGTGCCATCCAGGCTATGGATGGCTTTGGAATAGACTTGTTTTTTGGTATGAAAAAGCAGCTTGTTGACTGAAGCTTCCATTATCCTAGCAATGTAAGCTAGAATTAACTTACGTTCAACCCTCATAGCTTGCCAAATTCTTTGTGTTTAGCACTTATAGTTTGTAATATTTAAAAATAGGGTCCTGTGGTCATGCAGAGAAGTGCAATGTGAAAAGGGTCATTAAATAAGTAAGAGTTAAAACCCCACTAATTTCTTTAAAATAGTGCTGTGTTGGTATACACACTGAATAGTCAGGTTCACAAATTTAGCGACCTCTAAAGGTAGTGTAATTTGCATTGCCTGGTTTATGACACACAGTGATGATGGAATTACAAGAATTCCCTCCCACCCCTTTCTAGATGCATTTTCAACACTGCTGCTTCAAACACAAATACAATACTAGACAATGCTTACCCTGAAGTTAGAAATTCTTTCCATTGGGTTTGATCTGTTCTCAAAAAGGCCATAGCTTCATTCTCATACCTATTCATGGCTGGGCAAGCTGTAAA